ATTCCACCTAAGTGTTCGTCCTCCTCAGCGTCTTTATAAAGGATTGCGTATGGGGAACATTGAAACCGTACTATCTAGCAGTATTGCAGCAGTTTTTTGGTCAGCTTTTGTAGTAGCTGGAACTATGTGGTATGGTAGTGCAGCAACTCCTATCGAACTATTTGGGCCTACTCGTTATCAATGGGATCAAAACTATTTCCAAGAAGAATTGAAAGACGTGTTCGTGCTAGTCAAGCTGAAGGGTTAAGTCTATCTGAAGCTTGGTCTAAGATTCCTGAGAAACTAGCATTCTACGATTACATTGGAAATAACCCTGCTAAAGGAGGACTATTCCGTGCAGGTGCTATGGATAATGGAGACGGTATTGCAGTAGGCTGGTTAGGTCATGCTGTATTTACAGATAAAGAAGGTAATGAACTATTTGTTCGTCGTATGCCAACTTTCTTTGAAACCTTCCCTGTTGTTTTTACTAGATAAAGACGGAGTAGTTCGTGCAGACGTTCCTTTCCGTAGAGCAGAATCTAAATATAGTATTGAACAAGTAGGTGTAACTGTACAATTTTACGGTGGAGAACTAGACGGTGTAAGTTTTAGTGATCCTACTACTGTGAAAAAATATGCAAGACGTGCACAATTAGGTGAAATTATTGAATTTGACCGTGCTACTCTTAAATCTGATGGGGTATTCCGTAGTAGCCCAAGAGGATGGTTCACATTTGGACATGCTAATTTAGCATTCTTATTCTACTTTGGCCATATCTGGCATGGTGCTAGAACTCTATTTAGAGACGTATTCTCTGGAATTGATCCTGATCTTGAAGCACAAGTAGAATTCGGTCTTTTCCAAAAACTTGGAGACCCAAGCACCAAGAGACAAGCTGTATAGATATAAATATCTGTACTCAGTTCTATTTATGTATCTTAGTATGTATCAATGAATCTATAAAAAGATTCAAAAAATCGATTAGTACGAAAGCTATTTTCACACATTTTACTACAAATCATATTTATGGAAGCCCTGGTTTACACTTTTCTGTTGGTCAGTACTCTAGGCATTATCTTCTTTGCAATCTTCTTCAGAGAGCCACCAAAGGTGCCTGTAAAAGGGAAGAAATAGGCCTATATTAGACTTAACCTTGTAATTTTTTTTGTATCCTATTTATCTATTTGTATAGTAATACAAGGATCATCTTATTCTTTTCAATATGAATTATAGGGTGGCCCTCCCCGTATTCCTGTGAAGTTTGGGAAAGGCCTAGAAAATTAATCTTCGTGTTCCTCAAATGGATCGCGAAGTTCTTTTGAAGGCTGTCCAAAAGCTGTATACAGGGCATAACCAGTAAAACTTACAAGCAGACAAGATATAAAGATAACTACCAAGGTTGCTGTTTCCATTTTCAGGTAATTCCTCAAGAATGAGAATGTTTGGTTTCCACTATGATAGTACACAAAGTCAACAAATCTCAACCAATGAGTAATAAGATTTATGGCAACACAGATCATTAAAGATTCTACCAAGGGCAGAAGAACCGCTGTTGGTGACATATTAAAGCCACTTAATTCCGAATATGGTAAAGTAGCTCCAGGATGGGGCACTACTGTACTTATGGGTGTATTTATCGGATTATTTGCTGTATTTTTGGTTATAATTCTAGAATTATACAATGCTTCTGTAGTTTTAGATGGTATCCCAGTAAGTTGGCAATAAGTACGGTAATGCTTCAATTTCTCACAAACTGATAATTCTCATTACAGTTTAAGGGAATTCTTTTCTGACGAGAAGACTAGGAAAATGAAGGGGGTATAATTACTCAAGAATTTTTCCTGGTCTTCTTATTCATATTAATTAAAGTAGAAACACGACAATATTCCCAAATGATACTAATTAGTACATAGGGAGAAAAAAGACTTTTCTCTTTTTCTTATGGAAGTTCAACTGCGTAATTATGTAAATGGAGAATGTCTGCATTATGGGTAAGGTATACGATTGGTTTGAAGAACGTTTGGAAATTCAGGCAATTGCTGATGACGTTACCGACAAATATGTTCCACCTCATGTCAATATTTTCTATTGCTTAGGAGGAATTACTTTTACCTGTTTTATCATTCAAGTAGCGACAGGCTTTGCTATGACCTTTTACTATCGTCCTACTGTAACCGAGGCTTTTGCTTCTGTTCAATACATTATGACCGAAGTTAACTTTGGTTGGTTAGTTCGATCAGTACACAGATGGTCTGCTAGTATGATGGTAATGACTATGATTTTACACATATTCCGTGTGTATTTAACTGGAGGCTTCAAAAAACCTCGTGAACTTACTTGGGTTACAGGAGTTCTTTTAGCAGTATTAACTGTTTCTTTTGGTGTAACTGGTTACTCTTTACCTTGGGATCAAGTTGGGTATTGGGCTGTAAAGATCGTTACAGGAGTACCTGACGCTATTCCGGTAATTGGAGCACCTTTAGTTGAATTACTGCGTGGAAGTGTAAGCGTAGGACAATCTACATTAACTCGTTTTTACAGCTTGCATACATTTGTATTACCACTTCTAACAGCTGTCGTTATGTTAATGCATTTCCTGATGATTAGGAAACAAGGTATTTCTGGTCCACTATAAACAAGTATATGGAGTTGCCATATATAATGTATTAAGAAAAGATTCTGATATTTTTTCTAGACATTACATTCGAGGGGCGCATTGCCATGAAGCAAGTATTTAATATACCTATATCATGGATTAGTTTGCTGTATCGTTCTGAACAGTTTACTTGTTTATAGTATCGACACAGTTTTTTTACATAAAAAGGAGTTTAGATTATGGGAGTCATCAAGAAACCTGATTTGACTGATCCTGTACTACGAGCAAAACTAGCGAAAGGTATGGGACATCACTACTATGGAGAACCAGCTTGGCCTAATGATTTATTATATATGTTCCCAGTATGTATTCTTGGAACAATTGCTTGCAATGTTGGACTAGCAGTTTTAGAACCTTCTATGATGGGAGAACCTGCTAATCCTTTTGCTACTCCTCTAGAAATTTTACCTGAATGGTATTTTTTCCCTGTATTCCAAATCCTACGTACAGTTCCTAATAAATTATTAGGAGTTTTGTTAATGGCTGCTGTGCCTGCAGGCCTTTTAACTGTTCCTTTCTTAGAAAATGTAAATAAATTTCAAAATCCATTCCGTCGTCCAGTAGCTAGCACTGTATTTCTTATTGGAACTGTTGTAGCTGTTTGGTTAGGTATTGGAGCAGCTTTACCTATTGATCAATCTCTAACCTTAGGACTTTTCTAAGGATTTTTTTTTGATTTTTTTTACAGACTGGTGATCAACACCTCAGTTTGTAAATTAGACTACACAAAAAAGAAAAAGACAACCATTTGTTGTAGCTGAAATATATTTCAGCTACAACAAATGGTTGTCTTTTTTATTTTTTGCAAGAAAGTTGTAATCCGAAACGTTCTTGCAAAACCATAACAACTTGTTCAACTGATTTTCTGCCAAAATTTTTAATCTTAAGAAGATCTTCTTGAGTATAAGATACTAAATCTGATAATGTGTGTATATTAGCTCTTTTTAAACAATTATATATTCTAGGAGATAATTCTAATTGATCAATAGATATATTAGTTGTATTCATGATATCTTCCATAGGTCTATCCAGTGATAATACTGTGTCAATAGTAGTATTTAATACATGACCTGATTGATCGGAAGTATGAATATTTTTATATACTACATTATGATCTATAGAATTCGAATTATTAGTTTTCAATACGTTTTTAGATGGAATGGGCGGTGTAATGGTATAAAATAAATTAAGTATACTATTATGAGCTTGATATAATGCTTCTTCTGGAGTTAAGCTTCTATTAGTCCATATTTCTAATAATAATAACTGCTGTCTTTCTTTTGCTTCTCCTAAAGAATAAATACTGAAATTTGCTTTTTGAACTGGAGTAAATCTAGCATCGATACGAAAAAAACCTTCTTCTGGCTTGACATTATCATTTATGTAATTCCCTTTGCCTTCGCTAATCAGTAATTCAATACACAATTGAGTATGTTTACTTAAGGTAGCTATGTACTGATCAGGATCTACAACACTGATACAAGATGGTAAATTAATATGTCCAGCAGTTACTACACCTGGACCTTGTGCAAATAAAGAAGCACTTTGCTTGTTTGTTACTCGACCTTTTAAAACTATTTGTTTAAGATTCATTAGAATCTCATCGATAGATTCACGCACTCCTTCTAAAGTAGAATATTCATGCACAGTTCCTACAATTTTGGCTGATGTAATACCAAGTCCTTCAACTTCTGATAACAAGGCTCGCCGCATAGCTACTCCTATAGTCATAGCTTGATCAACTAATAATGGAGATAAAGCAAAACGGCTATAATGTAAACGGCGATTTTTTCCTTGTTCATCATCTACACATTTCCATTCCGGACAAATACGTATGGTGCTACTATTTTTTTCCATATTCTCGTTTCTCTGTTTATATAATAGATATATGTTTTATACGCGACGTTGACTAGAAGGTCTACAACCATTATGTGGCATAGGGGTTACGTCTCGAACAAAACTTAATGCAATACCACTGTTACGGATAGCTCTTAAGGCTGTATCTCGTCCTGGTCCAGGACCACTAATCATAACTTCAGCTTGTCTCATACCTTGATCAATTAATAAAGAAATAGCATTTTCAGCAGCAGTCTGGGCTGCAAAAGGTGTACTCTTCTTAGCCCCTTTAAATCCACAAGATCCAGCAGAAGACCAAGACATTGTTTGTCCTCTAATATCAGTTACAGTGACAATTGTATTATTAAAGCTTGCTTGAACATGGATAACTCCTTTAGGAGCTCGTTTTTTCCCTTTACGAAGACTAATTTTTTTAGAAGGTTTTGCCATAATATTTAATTGTACTTGATAATCAATTTTTATTAATTCATGATTCATAAAAGAAGTTTAGATAATTTCTATTTGTAGATAACTATAGAAATTCTTCCTAAGAAATAATTGTTCAGAATATATACACAATGATCTGCAACTTTCAAAAACAAGATGATCGAATACTAAAGAAATTAGGATACGAGAAAATAGAAAATGGAATCATGAATATATTATCCTTGACGTTGTTTGTGTTTAGGATTTGAACAAACCACCATAACTCTACCTCGTCTACGAATCAAACGACAATTTTCACAAATCTTGCGAACTGAAGCTCGTACTTTCATATTTTTATAATCTCCACAAAATTTTCTATTTTTTTCTATTATAAGAAGAATATGAATATCAAATATATACCTTAATATGAAGTAATTCAGGATTCTCTATACTTTTTAGTATTCGAGTTATGTACTAATTTTGATTGAATCAACTTCAACTAAGATTTTTATAAATTCTAAAAAGAATAATACATAAAAAATATGATTTTTAGCAAAGTTATCCATTAGGAGATCTTGTACGAAGCCTATAGGTAATACGTCCTTTGGTCAAGTCATATGGGCTTAATTCAACTTTAACCCTATCTCCCAATAAGATGCGTATATAATTTTTACGAATCTTGCCCGAAATATGAGCCAGTACTTGGCAACCATTATCTAAGCAGACTCGAAACATAGCATTTGGAAGAGACTCTGTAACTACTCCTTCCATTTCGATTAAATTCTGCTTCCTCATGGATTTCCTCTATTTATAACTGGCTATGTTTGTATAAAACCGAGCTCATAAGATTAACTTATTATGAGTTTTCTTAAACTTCTAATAACTACTCTTATGAGTTGAAAAAACTGAGTATGTAAATGGCATAAGGATTACCAAACATAGCACAATATTTCTCCCCCGATTTGTTTTTCACGTGCCTCTCGATCAATCAAAATACCTTGAGAAGTGGATAAAATGACAATTCCCATTCCTCCTAAAACTCTCGGGATATCTTTGTGATTGGAGTAGACTCTAAGACCAGGTTTGCTAATACGTCTGACTGTAGTAATATAAGGTTTACGCCTACGGCCTTGATATCTTAATGTAATAACTAATAAACGTCTGATACCTTCTTGACGTTCTCTAAGTTCTTCTATAAATCCTTCTTGTAATAATATTTTGCCAATACTTCGAGTCGTATTAGTTGCTAATACTTCGACAGTTTTGGTTTTTCTTAAATTAGCATTACGTATACACGTAATCATATTGGCTATAGTATCGTTGCTCACGGTGACTCCTTATTTTTTTGTGCACTGTAAAGAATAGAAATATATTAGACTCTACTTATCTGTAATATAGGACAATAAAAAATAATTAATATTTATTTGAGAAAAAAATATCTATTGATTGTCACTAATTTTGTTTTCATATATGGTATAGCCACATATATAATGAAAGATTGAGTACGTTTAAGTATGAAAATGGCAGTGCTTTAGAAAAATTAGACAAGACTAATAAGAAAACACATTGACTTAAATTAAAATTATATTGATATATATAATAAAATATTTAGCATAAAAGTGCAAGATCTTTTGGATCATATCATAGAACTTCAGGTGCTAAAGAGACTATTTTTGTAAAATTAAATTCTCTTAATTCTCTAGCAACTGGCCCAAAAACTCGTGTTCCCCTTGGATTCCCTTCTTGGTTCACAACTACTGCTGCATTATCATCAAAACGAAGTATCATGCCATTATCACGTTTCAAACCTTTACATGTTCGAACTATAACAGCTCTAACAACTTCTGATTTCTTTAATGGCATATTAGGTACAGCTTCTTTGACTACTGCAATAATCATATCACCAATATTCGCATACTTACGATTACTAGAGCCTAATACGCGAATACACATAAGGCGACGAGCTCCACTATTATCCGCTACATTCAAATATGATTGAGGTTGAATCATGATTTTAGTAGTCTCCTTTTCAAAGATAGCCCCCAGATAATAAAATTTATGGGGGCATAATAAATAATATGAGATAAAATAATGACAATAGAAAAAAGATTTCTGAAAAAGTATAAAAAAATCGATTTTACACTTATAGAAATCTTTTTTCTGTAAGAATCAAATACTTCGAAAAAAAACATTTATTTTAAACAAAATTCCTAATAATATATGCTATATATAATATCGTATGTTTTTGATATATCTTGCATATATCGCAAATTGTACTTTAAGAAAAATTATTTATTCTCTAAAGTACTAGCTACTACAAATTGAGTCTTAATGGGCATCTTATAAGATGCTATTCGCATAGCTGAACGTGCAACGTTTTCTGATACGCCACTCATTTCATATAATATTCTGCCTGGTTTGACAACAGCTACCCAATATTCTGGGGCACCTTTTCCAGATCCCATTCGAGTTTCTGCAGGACGCATTGTAATTGGTTTATCAGGAAAAATTCTAATCCATAATTTCCCTCCACGTCTGGCATATCGAGTCATAGCACGACGTCCCGCTTCAATCTGACGTGATGTAATCCAAGATGGTTCTAATGCTTGAAGACCAAATCTACCAAAACACACGCGGTTACCACGTGTAGCAAATCCTTTCATTCTTCCTCGGTGTTGCTTACGAAATTTAGTTCTTCTAGGGTTATAGTCGATGATATTTTCTACATCTCTACTACAAAACTGGACATGAAAATTTCTTTTCATCCGGCTTCTCGTGAAACCAATTTTTGCAAACTATTGGTTTGAATAGAATAATTTTTAAAAACTCTTTTTTTTATGTTGATATATTTTCTTCTAATATATTTTATGTTAATAAGAATCTTTTTATGAATTAATATAAAAGTATCAACCAATTATCATGTTTTTTTGTCAAAATATTTTTCTTGAATTTCACGTGCGAATATCTGCCCATTGAATTTGAAAATATTCATTTAAAAATCTTTTCAAATTGTTTCTCTTGATATTCTAAGCAATAGAAACAATTTTTAGCTGGCTTCTTTCGCAATCCTACCTAATAAATTCATCTCATACACAACAGAGATGAAAATTAATAGGTTCCATCGTTCTCATGACTTCTAGGATGCGTTTAGGTCCTCTTTCTGCAGCAAAGTTCTTTATCTTTCTAAAACTAATACGTTACTTAGTGTTGACTAGTCTTAAACTTATCATTTCTAAGAAATTCATTATTAATATTTTCAAAAATTTCTTGCTGATTTCCAACTGCCTCAATAAGAGTTAGATGTATTCCTGACCATGCGCTACAAATATAGCAATATGCTTAAAACTATGTCGCATATTGTGGAAATTTCCGCTACACAAAAATTAAGGTATTTTTATGGGAAATCTATTACAAATTACTATATAGTAATTTCTTTGCATAATTTCAAAAAAGAAGTCATAAACTTTCTCACTATTTGTGAGAGA